TTGCGAGTGTAATCACACCATATTTTGTTTTAAACTCAAGGATTTTGCGGTTCTTTGTGACTCTTATAATGATCACTTGAACACGTGTAGTGCTGGCCTCATTCTGACCTGCAAGAGGCCACGTTATATCACGTCGAATGCGTTATCATCCAATGTCCATGAACTAAGTACGAAGGTTGTCGTTCTCATGTACACGCAACTGCAGTAGTATCAAGATATTCTTTGGGTCTTTCGGTAAAGCCACGTAGATAGAAAAAAAACGAAAAATATCACGTTGCGATCGAAATGTAGTGATGTTTTTTTATAATTTTTTCTATCTACGTGGCTTTACCGAAAGACCCAAAGAATATGAATTCCTGCAGTCACGAAAGCTTTCAGTCAAGATTTAGTATCAAGATGTTTAACAGGCTGGTCACCCTGCCAAAGTCCTTGAGAATGCAATCACGTTATAGGACATAATATATCTGCAGAGATGCATAAATCCATTGATTAATTATTATTCTCCAATACCGATTCTGTGCACAGAACATGGCAGAAGAGTAAGAGAACGGATATAAAAATAGACACTGTAGGTGAGCACAATAAACACTAATTTGTCGTAAAAAAGTATAAAACTCAATTGTTATAGTCACATGATTACATGATCAGGCTTAGCTACAACCAGCTTGCCGCTGATGGGAAAAGACTAGGAACACAGTAAAAACTGGCTCAATAACATCAGAAAAAATGGCCCGCTTAACACGTGAAAATATATTAATCGTTGCTAAGGTACAAACAGTACGGAGGTAAATGACACCCGTGGCAATCAGTTCTGCCAAAGGTCCTCCGAGAAACGTAATGATGTACAGTACCTCCTTTATTTGTTGAAAATGCAGATTATTCCTCTAGGTTTTGGGCAGAGGGTATTTATAGACACTATCCAGCTGCTTATGCACATTGACCCATGGCCCATGGCTTTGGAAGTTTGGAATTTAGGGCTTCGGATGCAATGGTAGAGCAACAAGATATCACAAAAGCAGTGGTCAAGGCATACACCGAAATCCTGGCCAAGGTAGATACAGCCCCATTCGCGTAATTTTACATTGCCCATGAGCAAATAACTGTCAATGTGCTCAATATTGTCAGAGCTCAGACGCTAAGCAAAGGTTGTGACTGTTAGTACCCTAACGAAATGGGAGACTGCCTGGGAACACACGGTGCTGTACACTTGAGCTGCAAGGTGACCAAGAGATGGAAGCACAACATTGTATTTCCTGAATCCATCGGTGCGGAGTTTTGAATGTGATGCCTCGCATGCACGGGGTTTTTTCTGCGGGTACTCTCAAAGGGTGTGACGTCATCGCCAATCGAGTTACTCGTGCTGTAAAGCGCTGTATTAATGGGCTTCATGATGTCGTGTCTGCACACAGCGGAGTGGTAAAGCGAATAATAAATTAAACATTTTGCTCGTTTTTATTTTCTGTCCATTTCCTAAACTGGGCGACACCTAATTGTTGTGAATTTTGGCCAACACTTGGCCAGGGGCGTCTGTGTGAACGGATGTGAGAGGGCATTGAGCTCGGTCCGAAATAATGGCTGGGTCTCGTGACTTTGAATTTTCAAGGCCCTCTGTGCCATAAAATAAAACAAAAAAGTGTTTAAATATGAAAAAAAGCCTGTAAAAATGTCTCACAGATCATGCCAGTTTAAAAAAGAAAAATCGTTCCCGACCTCTATCCACCCTAACGGTATAACTGGGCACACACACCACAGCGAGAAGTTCAACGGCAGATCGTGTGTGGCGGGGGGTAAAGTGTGGATACTGCCACCTCTTCCAATGTCTGACCTCCGTAGAAGAGGAGACCAAGATACCCTGGAAAAGGGACTCTCTAGAGATCCCTCGAGTGGAGGCCTTTCCGCCGGTATTTGGCGCAAGAAATTGCAGGGCTGCAACTTTACCTGCTTATTGAAGACTAATTTCTGTACATGTTATTGACATTTAAATTCACCCACATTGTGAATTCGGCCACTCACACAGTTATGCACTGAAACTAACAATCCTCACGATAGACACAGACACAAACACCTTTGTTAATTACAACTCAATCAACCTTCATGACACACACACACACAGCCAAGGCGCAATGGTTAACACTTGTACCTCACAGCAAGAAGGACCTGAGTTTAACTCCCTTCCGGCACGTTGCTGTGTGGAGTTGTTATGTTTTCCCACCGTTCCGCGTGGGTTTCCTCCCATAGCTAAATAATAACATATCATACGATGTAATTGGTACTGGTTGAAGCAACACAATGCTGAGCAATCGCATTACCCAATTGGGATTAAGCAGAGCAACGTTGGTCTCCTCGTGCGAACACTTTGCAGGACCCTCCTGACAAGATAATAACAAATCTACAACAAGCTCATGAGTTGAAGCAAAGAAGGCTTAATGACACACACCAACAACCTCATGAATTTAAGGTAATATGCCCTTATGACACACACACAGTTAGGAATTAAAACTAATCGGCTCCCATGCCTAATCCCTAATTGTGCATGAGTAAGTATTCAGTTAAATACAGCACTGCTGTTGTACCGTGCAATGCATTTTGCTCAGATTTCTGCCGATCTGCTGCCATGTGTATGATTTTGGTGTGTGCTGTCTCCTGCACATCTGTGAAAAAGAGCTTTATAGCTAATCGGATTCCTCCAGTATTAATACAGTATTCTGATTCTGTCGTCTGTATGTGTACGAGTTGTGTGTGTGTGGTGTGTGAGACGTGTGTGTTGTGATACGTGTGTATGTGAAAGTATTGTGTGTGAGCATTGTGTGTGTTGTGCGTGTTACGTGTTGTACTTTTCAGTGACACTGTTGTATATGTACGTGTGTGGGTGTTGTGTTTTAGTTGATTATATTTTAGTATTGTGTGTGTTACTTTTGTGTGTTTTGTGTTTAATTGTGCTGTCCTTCATAGGTGGCTCGATAACAGCACTTGCCCCAACGGTCTGTTAAGGCTATAATTATGATGGGGGGGGGTGGGGAGATTTGCCTTTGTGTGCATGAGTGCTGCAAATTCGTGTATGTGACTTCTGTTACACGTACGCGTGGGTGCTGTGTATGAGTGTTGCACGTGTGACTGTTGCTGTGTGTGGGACTTGTACATGTGTAAATGAGATTACAACTTTGCAGGTGTCTGCGTATTCCTTAGGTGTACCTTGCTCCGAGTTCCCCTGATACTACAGCCTCCCTCATCACGTGTACATGTGTGTGTATGTGCGTGCTGATAGAGTGTGTGTATGTGCGTGCTGATAGAGTGTGTGCGTGCTGATAGAGTGTGTGTGTCACTTCGGGTGACCAGGACAGGCGATGTGTACATATTTAAATCATTTGGCAGTGCTGCATTTGGCAGTGATGCACAAAAACTCATACAACGACGCAATTCAACACATTAGCCATCAACACTGCCTTAATTACAGGGTGCTTCAAAAAAATGTTAACACTTACATGGGACTATCGTTTTTAACGGAAAAAGAACGGATAATAAGCAATCACCTGATGATGATTGCTTGTGTTGCAGTCGAAACGTCGTGGGAATTTTATTGTTTTATATTTTTATTATTTTATTGTTTCCCTTCTACGTGACTTTACCGAAAGAACCAAGAACACAAACGAGATAATTAATACAAACGTGAAGGAAGAAAAATATTAAAGCAGAATCTCATTTTGTGTGGAATCGAGGCTCCATAATCGTGCGGTAGTCAAAATGTAAAACGGAGAGTTTTGTTATTTGAGAAGTCCGTGTGATCATTTAGAAACATTGATGCGACATTAAAAGTTACAATATCCCGTCGTGAAATTGCAACGCAGTAGTGTCCTGCATTTTTGTGTGCAAAATGTGTGTTGTTTAACGCGTTGGTCGTGAATTAGTTAATGGAGTTAAAACCACATCGGGTTTTTTTAACTTCTGGGTGTCCGTTTCTGTTAGCACAGAGCCATTTCCCTTGGCTCTGTAATAACAGCAATACAATGATTAGAGCGGCGCTATACCGTGCATCTTTAAGACTCACAAACCAATCTGATCTGAGCCTCCCTTAGGTCGACTCAGCCTACAACTAATACGCACATGTCCTCTGTAAGGCGCTCGGAAGGTTAACAATAGACGCACGCGCCACAAAACGTGTGCGCTCAGTATCAATGAAAGTCTACAAATCTGAACGGACAATAAACGAAGGATTACAACTTTTGTTTTAAAAGAAACAGAATAGAATAGGGAAGAGAAATAAAAAACCAACCCAACAACAGAATGCAATTAAGCACCGAGAACGGTGCTGGCGTGAGCCACAAATGATCAGTCCCAATTAAAAGTTTGACGATGTAACCGGAATTCAAAACATTATTAAACCAGACTGATAATAGGATAATTTGGGGATGAGTTTTCTCTTATTCTTCTTCTTCTAGCAACAATAACTTGGTAACGAAATCGATAAACACACACTTTCGCGATTTGTAACGACCTCAAAGTGCGCAGAAGATGATGGGTTGTAATCGGTGCTAATTATTTTATTAAAGAATCCGCTGCGGCGGACGCATGCTGCGCGCGTGTGCGGTGTCTTTAGTGCGGGGAGCGGTGCTGCAGTGGTTAGCGCGCCGCACCACGAACCCGGCAAACCGAGTTCGATTCCCGTTCACGGCCACCGACGCCACGTTACGATTATCTGAACCGGTCCCGGGCCTCCCCTAGATCGACTCAGCCTCAAATGAGTACCTGGTGCGGTGTTGTCGTAAACATTCACCGCTCGGGGAACAGACAACGGCAGCCGGGCGTGGTGCTGGCCACCTACCCCCTCGTGTGCCACAGCGACGACCTTAAGCACAATGTGCCGCTCCTCGCTAACAGCACTTGCCCCGGCAGTCTGCTACAGGCTACACGGGGGGACGGGGGGGAGGGGGTTGCTGTTTGTCCTTTTGTCTTTAGTGTGCTGAGTGCAACGAACTGTGTGCACACCAACAGACAACACTCACCCAAAGGGTCGCGTGTGGTCGAAGATGTCTTGATTGTGAATTGTGAATGCCGTGTGTGAGTGAGCGAGCGAGGAGTGTGTGAGTGTGTTTGCTGCTGCTGGGGTGGTGGTGGTGGTTTCCTGTTTGTGAGAATCAGCCTGAGCTCCTCCAGGGAGGCGCCAGGTTCCATCACACTCAACATTGAGTCAACACGCCCAGGCAAGCAGGATTTAACAACGATTAGCAAGCAGCGCCCTTTGGGGTGGGATGAATGGATGGGGGGGGGGTGGGGGCGTGTTCCGGTCGTGCACGTACCGTATGCGCGTTGAACTTCCTTCGCACCGTACGTAGCCAACCGTGATAATCGATAGGTGCCGGGGGAGAAGAACAACAAACTAAACACAGTCGTAAAATAAACAAAAAGAGTTCGTCGATCTAGACGATTTCAAAAGTGCATAAGCTTCTTCCCAATATCGGACAGAAGAGCGTTCCAGACGGCCGCACAAGCAGCGCATGTGAAAGCGCGCGATGCGTTGGGGTGGTACAAATTTGACTGTGAGCGTGGTGCTGGCCCCCCTCTGCCCCTTCCTCGTGTGCCGTGGCGACCTTTAATAGTTGTTTCCTCACTAACAGCACTTGCCCCCAAAAGTATGTTAAGGCTATTAAGGTGACCTTTGTCATTGTGACCTGTCAGTGCAGCACAGAGTACAAACATAATATCCACTTGCTGTTTCCGTATCACCTGTCAGGGTAATACTGTACTGTCCTGGCTATTCTTGCAAATTCAGCAATGCATCGAGAAACCCCCAAGAGTGCTACAATAACAACGAACTTGTCACACAATAGTGGCGACCTCCTCGTCTTGCGGATTGATATCACAAAATATTTCACCTGTTAAAACTTGCTGCTGTTGTATGCTTGGGGGCTGAATGTCAAAATTCCGGTCCATAGTAATAATAATAGTAATAATTGTTGGCCCTTTTTCAATCTTCGAGCTGTTGTAAGAAGTTCTCCCTCCGCCGGCTCGGGCGTGTGGGGGTTGTTTTGCCGGCCATACTTCACCACGCTGGTCAGTGTGGTTAGTTGCTATGGGTTCGCCCCAACACCGGTTCTGATATCACCGATTGTATCCGTGGCCTGGAATTGAACTCAGCTGTCCCAAGCGCTTCCCACCGCTGGGACCGTCCATATTCGTGAAGAAAACGATACTAAAATCCTGCAGAGACGGTACAATCCTTGGACACACCCCGACTTGCAGCAGCAACAACAACCATCATTGGGGCTGACGCATGCAAGGGGATGTTTTGCTCTGCAGTGCAGCAAGTAGGTCGCTGTCGGAAGGCCCATTTGTGTGGCGTTGTTGGAGTGCACTGGTCCGTGCGTGCTCATACGTTACACGCCATTGCACGTGGACTACACCAGTGCCACCTGCAAAAAACACATTCGTCAGCCCTGATAAACACTGAAACACTGCAGGCAATTCCGATTAAGCAGCCCTCTCGGTCTGTGGTAAAAGCCACCGTGGTTCGTTCACCTGGCCTCAGTTTCGCAACCCGCGTTGTTCCAAGAGGTTGAAACTAATGGGAAAAAGCACGTGATAACAATCGCTTGTATAAACAGAACGCGTTCCAGGTTAACCGTTTTATTTCATCGGTCTATGCATCAATCAGAGATTGATGAGAGTCAAGTTTGTTAACTGCGCACGAGTGAGATATCTTTTACTAGGTTTTGAAAAAAAAGAATCCTTCCACTTACAACAGCCCCATCGTAAAGGTGGAATGCTGCCACCAACAGCTTCTGGCGACCCAGCAATCATTGTTTAACAAGTGTGACGACTGCTGATGACACCCAAGAGGTCAAATGTCATAGGATCGCGTGCTTAAACAAATGTGGTTGAATGACAACATTGAGCCCGAAGACGCATAGGCCGATGGACTTCGACATACTTTATGTAAGAGATGAAAGTTTATATTTTACTACCAAAAACGTGGAACAGCAACTGCTGGATGCACATCAGAGAGCCAGCAGTAGTAATCCACAATCCGTGCGTTTATTGCCCTGCAATTCCAGCTGTCGCTCGTTAATAATTGAAACAATTTAATTTGACGAAAAAAACTAATTACAAACCGGTGTAGCTCAGAGAGGTCAAAGCGCTGATACGTTGGCACCTTTGATACCCTGGGTAACAAACCCGTGATTAAACCGGATTCTTAAATACAGTACAAGCAGGTGGGTTTGTTTGCACATGATTTGACTAAATTCCAGCTCTTAAAAAATAGACTGCTTCAAGCTTGACCATCACGTGACAGTACGGACGGCTGAGAAAGTGCTGCCACCTCGTGTGGACAAAAGCTAATTACAGGGATCTCGGATGCAGTTATTTGGCATCCCGTTCTCAAATCCCTGGATGTTGCCACAACCCATGCTGCAATCAACCGAGATTCTACTGTAACTCATTCCTCGTCAAATGGTGTGACGCCTGTCATTGATAACTGGCCTTCTTAATCAGGAAACCCACGTCAAAGGCCATAGTTGAAGACGCTAACGTGGACCAGGGAGGGATAATACGCTCGTGTGTACACCAGGTGGTCATGTGTCAAGTTCATTCGCAACGGTGGAGTGATTCTCTGCCACCATGTGGCTGGGTCGCACCACTGCAATTCTAAACAGGTGACCGTGGAGAGAGATTAGACATCTGTCTTCACGTCGCCAGATAAGACACGGGGAACATGGAGACAGATACTACAAAAACAACAACAATACGAGACCGGAGACGGGAAAGAGATACAGAGACAAAAATTGAGACGCGGGAACAGGGATACAGAGAGACACAAAAAGATATGGAGACTGGGAACCACTGTAATTGAAAGGTGACAGGGAGACACAGGGAGAGAAACGGAGACATAGGGAGACATATACGGGGAGACAGAAACAGAGACATATAGGGAGAGAGAGAGACACGAGGAGAGAGAAACAGATCTAGGGAGACAGAGACACGGGGAGAGAGAAAGAGCCCAGTTGGAGAGGCGGGTAACTCCAATAATGCGGCATATGAGCGGCTCTTCCCTGCTTTGCAGTGCACTTAGATGAACAATCTACATTTACATATCGCCGAAGGGTTCACGTTGAGCCAAGTGCAGTTACATGCACAGCTTATCGACAGTGCCTCGGTCTCCATCGTTGTGTTCCTGTCTCCACGTGTCCTGTGCTAAAGTATTTTCATGTCTTCACGTCCTCATTATCCATGTACTCAACTTCCTGATGCTGGTACGTGACTTATATATTTATTGTTTTGTTAATCAAAACAAAATCACTTATACTGTATTTTGATTACGTCCTCCCGATGTCCCGAGCTAATGGCAATTGGCCCTAAAAAAATCGGCCGAACGTGTCTTCTGTAAGGTGCTCATGATGAATGCGATTGTTTCACTTATTTATTGAACGCTTGAAGGGTAAATTCCGAATCTTGTAGTGCAACCACCGCATGGCCAGCTTGTCCGTGTGATGCAGCTTGCATGGACCCCTCGAGTGTGCGTGTACCTCATGTCTCAGCGTGAGGTCTAAAGTAACAGGTCAATGAATGAGCGGTGTCAAATTTAGACTTTGTAAATAAAATAAATAAATATGTGTGCCCTTGCATTGTTATCATGAACCTCTGAAAAAAAACCTCACCTAAATTCGTCTTCAAATTTATGATGATCCAAAATTGCCGTTGCGAGACCGCCCTCGTTCCACAGCACCTAGAAACAAAACCCACTCCAATATTGTACGGGGTGGGAGGAGGGGTACAGATGTCTTGTGACCCACATTTAATTATAATCTAACAACTTAACTTTTTAAAGTAAGGTTTGGTGAAAACCGAAATGAATATGCAAATGAAAAATATGTGAGGGGTAAATTAATTGGAGGTCACAATACATCTGGACCACGCTGTACAGGACTCCGTTCCCTCCGTGAAACCGTATTTATTTTAAATGTAATATCACCTCCACTCAAGGGGGCATCGAAACATCGTACACTTAAAATAAAATATGCAAAGACAATGAAATAATGGTTCAGTAAAAGCCATGATAAAATAGTGAGTCTTGCACTCCCTCCTTGCACACACAGAGGCTCGGAGTGCACACCTCTCAACCCCTTATCAGTGCCTTGTTTATTACAGACCAATTCAGACCTTATTGGTCATCCCGTGCCCTTATAAATCCCATAATACAAAGTCCCATCACAAGGGAGAAACACAGACAACAAAAAACGTTGCCCGTATTGAAACGCCTGTACGCCGTATGAATCTGAAAACTAAATTTTCCTGTACAAGAACACGGGCAAACCGCATGGGTTGACAGCTCACCGCCGACAAGACATTCCAGATCCTTGGGGCAATACCTGAGAAGACCCGAACCCGCAGGGTCGAGCGCAAGAGCCGAGGCTGGGAGAGTACCGTAGTTGTAGGTCCTGCTCGGATGAGCGGAGTGTATAAACCCCAAGTCGTATGACAGATCGGTCTGGCTCACAAGGTGCAATGGTCCAAGAGCACGCAGATAGCATTATAAACCAGAATAACTAACTTATACTGGCTGCGAAAGCTCCCTCGATCAGAGTCCCAATCCTTATTGGATCATTTTCATGATCGCACTATTCACCACAGTCAAGATTCTCCATGGCCTCACCCTTGCCTACATCTCCCATCTCATCTCTCGACTCTTATCCTGCCTTCCCCATCTCATCTCACTCTCCTGATGTATCCTAAAAGAATCACACTATTTCCCCATCCCCGCCCCCCAGCCATCCATGCTGTCGACTCTCTCTGTCCCCTGTTTAAGTCAAGGGTGAAGGCCTTCCTTTTATCCTCTGCCCCTAACCGATTCCCTCTCTCCACAAAATAAATATTTCCTGTGTTTTTGTACAGCATCCTGAGATGCGGTCACATATAGACGATATATACATTGCCATATACGGTAAAACCTTGTTATATCGGTAATTTGATCATTCGTAATTGGGGATAATTCGGCACGGCTGCGCTTTTGGCATATATACAGTTTTAGTAATTCGCCATGAGCCGAATTGCCGTGCCGAATGGTCCAATTTCAGCATACACGTGGAGTGACGCCGCGTGCCACCACCTAAACAATGACTCAGTCTCGTGGCAGCGCCCGTGGTGAGCGTTAGTGCAGACCTGTTG